CTATCTATCTATCTATCTATCTATCTATCTAATCTCTCTCCCTCCCCCCTTTCTGCACCCTCCCTTGCAGTGGAAAACATGTGCAGCAGATCTGCTGGGACTTGTCGGGATGTGGCTTTTCCCATATTTGGAAGGAAAATTTCATCCTTTTCCTTTTTCTCCCCAGCCCAACTTCCCTTCCTGGCTTCCTGGCCGGGCTCTGCCTGGAGCTCCTGATGCGGCCGGTCGGAATTTCTGGCTCCGATCCTCGGAATGCAAGGAAAACAGGCCGGGCGCAACCTAGCAACGCCTCAGCACCGCCACAAAGAGATCACCCCACCCACCCCAAATTCCAGGATCCAGCTTTCTGACAGCCTCCACCCCCCCCAAAAGTCCCCAAGAGTACAGGTAGTCCTCGACTTATAACAGTTGCATTTAGTGACCGTTCGAAATTACAACGGCACTGCAAAGAAGTGACTTATTACGACCACTGTTCACACTTACGACCGTGGCGACATCCCCATTGGGCACATGATGAGGGTTCGGAGGCTTGGCCACTGACTCACACTTACGGCAGGCGCAGTGTCCCGGGGGAAGCCAGGTTCACTTAGTGACTTTGCGACTAAACTTTAAGAACTGCCGTGATTCACTTCAAACAACCGTGGAGAGAAGTTGTAAAATGTGGGGCAACTTGAACATAACAACTGCCTTGCTTAGCAACAGAGATTGTGGTCGTAAGTCGAGGACTACCTATACAGGAAGTCCTCGACTTAACAAGCCCAATTTCTGTTTGATTGGCATAACGGCCGTTATGTGAATCTTGCTGCTGTTAAACAAACCCGTCTCCCTCCTTGAGTTTGCTTGCCAGAAGCCGGCAAGTGAGAAAGGGGGACCCGATCGACCCCAGGACACTGAAAAGGTCACAAATGAATGCCAAGCGCCTGGATTTTCATCATGTGACCGCAGGAATGCTGCAACAGTCATAACTATGAGGACCAGACATAAGTCTTTTTTTTTTCAGTGCCATTGGTTGCTGAATGAATCGCTTGTTAGGTTGAAGACCGCCTATAATTCCAAGCTCTGCTTCGAAACAATACCACTCCCCAAGAAAGCCACCTCTGATTGGAGGGGCTCCAAGTGCCAACCCGCTAGGCCAGAGCTCTCCTAAGACTTGTAGACTTCAATTCCCAGAATTCCCCAGCCAGCCAGGGGAATTCTGGGAGTGGAAGTCCATCCATCTTAAATCAGGCTGGCTGGAGGATTCTGGGAATTGAAATCCTCCCCTCTTAAAGTATCCTGACTGGGGGATTCTGGGAGTCGAAGTTCAACCATCTCAAAGCATCCTGGCTGGAGGATTCTGGGAGTGGAAGTCCTCCCCACTTAAAGTATTCTGGCTGGGGGATTCTGGGAGTGGAAATCCACCCATCTTAAAGCAGGTTGACTGGGAAAATCTGGGAGTTGAAGTCCACAAGTCTGAAAGACTCTAAGAAAGACTGCAATCTCCCAGCCTTGGAAGGCGTTGGGGAGGAGAAACAACTAGCGTTTCCCCATCCTCACGTAGCTCTTTGGGTAGCTTCTAACGTGGTTTGCCCTGCCTTGGACGTATCCAGCAAGCCAGCATCTTACACCAGGGCAGCTCCGGCCATTCTGGAACCCGCTGACCTCAGCTGCTAACCCGCAGGCCGGTTCACAAAGAGGAATTCCATCTCAGGCCAGCGGTTCAACTGCCGAGGTTGTCATGCAGGGGTCTCAGTCCGGGGCGCTCCGGAATTTGGACATGGATGAAGGCAGCTCAGGTCAGGGGGCTCCCCTGCCCATCGAAAGGGCAAGAGCGGGAGGGTCAAAAAAGTCAAAAACGGCAGCCCAGATAGGCCTGGATTTCATAAGCCATGATTGCAGGCCTCTTCCAGGGCCCCTTTGGGAACAGTTGAAAACAGACAAACAAAACATGCCATGGCTTTGGGGGAATCTAGATCTGGGTCCCCCTCATCCACGAAAGCTTAGGGATGCCTTGCACCAGCCCACCTCGCAGGGTTGTTGGGAAGAGGAAAGCGTGCTGGCCTGAATTCTTCAATAGGCAAAATGCAAGAAGAAGAGTTTTATTTGGAAGGCAGGGAACAAATCCAACCCCAGGCTTAGTCCCAGCGGCAGGGAAGGGTAGTCCAAGGGGGTCCAAAAAGTCAAGATGGCGGGTGGTGGACGTGGCTGTACGAGAGCAGAATCCATGCTCGGTTTCTTTCTTGTTTTACCAACGTGTGTAATTTGTTGTCATAAAGTGGTGGAACTTTGCGACTGTCGTCTTGGCTCTTTGGAGCCCCTGCAGTGCCTGGGATGTCTCCGTATCCTTATTCAGAGGAACTACAAAGGCTCCCATGATGCATTTTACAAGGTCAAGAGCAGGGGTCTCCAAAACCTCGGCAACTTTAAAACTTGTCGACTTCCAACCCTCAGAACTCCTCAGCCAGCGTGCTTTGAGATATGTGGACTTCAACTCCCAGAATTCCCCAGCCAGCGTGCCTTAAGAGGGGTGGAACTTGCCTGCCCATGGGCGTAGCCAATCAGAGCTGAGGGGGCGTGGCCTGAGCGGAGGCTTTTTGCAAGGGGAGAAGGCGAGGTGGGTGGCAATGCCGTCTGGGAAGAACCAATGGGCGCTGAGAGGGGCGTGCCCCTGGAAGTGGCGTTATAAAGGGAGGGCCTCCAGGGAGGATTAGGCCTCCTGGCAGGAGCCAATTAGCGCTGAGGGGGGTGTTACCCAGACCGAAAACTTTGTATTCCCCGTGCTGTGGCGGACAGACGGAGAGGTGGGGCCGCCTCGCAGAAGCCAATCAGCTTAAAAGGGGCGGGGCGCGGCCGCCAGGAGGAAGCCAATTAGCGCCGAGGGCGGAGCTTTATAAGAGAGACATCATCCTGGGGGGGTGTGGCAAGGCAAGGCGGAGAGGGCGCGGCCTCCGGGCAGGAGCCAATCCCGTCCGGCGGGGCGTGTCCCGGGCGGAGGCTTTATAAAGGGCGGCGCCGGCGGGTCGCGTGGCGAGTCCGCGCGGGGCGTCTTTCGGGACGGGGGTGTCTCTCTCTTCGCTGGGACTGACCGGCTGCTTCTCTCTCCCCCCCCCGCGGCAGGGCTGGGCTCGGCTATGTTCAGCTGGGTGAGCCGCGACGCGCGCCGGCGCAAGGAGCCCGAGCTGTTCCGCACCGTCTCGGAAGGGCTGAAGCAGCTCTACGCCGGGAAGCTGCTGCCGCTGGAGGAGCACTACCGCTTCCACGACTTCCACTCGCCCGCCTTGGAGCCGGCCGACTGGGAGAGCAAGCCCATGGTGCTGCTGGTGGGCCAGTACAGCACGGGCAAGACCACCTTCATCCGACACCTGCTGGAGCAGGACTTCCCCGGCATGCGCATCGGGCCCGAGCCCACCACCGACTCCTTCATCGCCGTCATGGGCGGCGAGAGCGAGGGCGTCGTGCCGGGCAACGCGCTGGTGGTCGACCCCCGCCGCCCCTTCCGCAAGCTCAACGCCTTCGGCAACGCCTTCCTCAACAGGTGAGGGGGGGGGTGGTGGAAAGAGAGCGGCTGGTCTTGAGGACTAGGAGCGCTGCTGCGGCTGGTTTTAATTGCGGGGGTGGGGAGAGTCTTTTGAATCTGGCCTGGAGGACGAGAAGCACCTTTTGAGCTTTTCCAGGTGAAGAGGGTGGGGTGGGGGGGAGGGGGCCAGCAAGGAGGGAAGAGAAGTCTGACCTTGAGGACTAGTACCACTGTTTTTTTACCTTTCCACATCCAGGGCGGGCAGTGGGGAGGAAGGAGGGTCCGATCTTGAGGACTAGAAGCACTGCTCCTACTTTTCCAGCTGCAAGGGGGAAGGAGGAGGGTCTTTGGAGCCTGTTCTTGAGGACTAGTACCACTGTTTTTAGCTTTCCAGATCCAGGGCAGGGAGTGGGCAGTGGGGAGGGAAGGAGGGTCTGATCTTGAGGACTAGAAGCACTGGTTTAGCTTTC